ACTGCATGGTGAACGAAACCTGGAAGCGATTTACCGATAATGTAGTGCAATCTTTTGGCTTTGATTTCCATGGGAAAACGACACGACTTTTTTTTAAACCAAGAAATTAGTTGTTTTCGAAAGATAAACTGAGCATTGAAAAAGAATTTAACAGTTTTTCGGTGAGAACAGCTCATTGTCGAAAACTTGCGACACACGGACGTATTCATAAGGAGTATTGACAAAAGTTGTCACAAGACAAAAGCAGTTTCACTGCGTGTTTGACATCCTAACACTACTAAACAATAAAGAGGTGTGAATATTTTTAGGCATGTTGTCGAAACAAATGAATAGGTTTAGGAACAATGTACCAGCTGGTTGAAACAAAGTCGGTCACGGTCTTGTTGAATTGGGGATGCGGTTAGTAATAGGTACTTTTCATGTTTTCAATTTTTGTTGAGAACTCTTTAACACTGAAGCCGAAATCGGGGGTGCGGTTACTATTAGGTATGCGGTTTATAATAGGATTTTAACGGTACATCATTTTTTTAGTCTGAAGTATTGGCTTTCATACAATATATATATTTTATAAAATATATAGTATGATATTTACTCCTTAAAAAATATCTCTTACTGGAAAACCTGTATTAGAAATCGCACCTCTAATAAAAGCCACACCCATTGAGAACCAAAAATTCATAATTTTTTGCATGTATACATGCTCTAATAGAAGCCACATCCCCTCTTGCATTTTACCATTTCAATAGAAGTAGTGGCTTCTAATACAGGTTTTACAGTAGTACTGTACTGTACATACATGTACTAGACAACCAGTAGACATTATTGGATTCAATCAATTAAAGCTGCTATGAACATTGAACTGAATGGTTCTGAGAATGCAGGTTGGTCATAACTTACAGCAGAGTCCATTTGATTGTATCGAGCAATATCTTTATGCAGGGTTCTCAGCATGATCATAGCAACCATACCAGACAGGAACAAAACAATAACCAATGAGTTCATGATACTGTAAATGATCAAGAAATGCATGGGTTAATATGCTTTTCAATGTTGGCCAATCAAGACAACATTATTGATATAAATATTTTTAAATAGCCCATAAATTATTGAAAAACATCATCCTTAAAGGTTTGTCAATTTTTATCAACATTTCATGTGGGGGATGAGCAGACTAAAAAAATCATTTTGTGAGTGGTGCCAAACATGATGCACAAAAGATTAGGTGTTTAAGTATGAAATGTGTTATGTACAAGTTGGATCACCTATTACCTAATCAAGTGGTATATAATACACGAAACCACAATATACAAAAACACATAAAGGGCAAAACTTACCTGAACCACTGAATGTTGGTATGTGGCATAGAATCCAAAATATAATCCCATCGTGATGCCCACTTAATTTCAGTGTTTAGCTGAAAAATAAAATGAATGAATTTAGAAACCCATATATAAAACACTGAAATCAAACAGGGGGCAGCTAACGATGCACGAGTTTTTGTGGTACTTGAAATTTGACATGATTTGGAGAAGGTAGTTTGTCAATGGTAGGGAGGTGGGGGTGGTGATCACTGAAATTATAACAGGATATAATGTAAACCAAGCAATCTCTTGTATAATTACACAAGTATTGTACATTAATATAAGTAATATTTGACAACACTCTTTACAATCAACATGGTTTCATATATATGTATATTAATTTCACAATTTCTCATTTATAAATTTGTAAGTGCTTTTGTTATCGACCTTGCAAATTTGAACAAGATTAGCAAACTTAAGAATCTAAATTATATAAGATTATTTTACAGATATCGATGTCATATCTGATGTCACTATGACAACTACAATAATGGTAATGGTCGTTTAAACACACTTTTCTTGGTCAGACAATGGAATAACATAATGAACATACTTTAAAAGTGATAGAATACGAGTAGGTAATACTGATTTTCTCGTCTTTTCCCATTTTGCCTGGAATAGCCATGGGTTTCAAATTATCATTGCAGTCACCTGGCTTCTCATGCTTCATACTGAAAGACAAAATAGTTTTTGATATTTGCACGATGACAATTTTCAATCAATAATTTACATATACACATGTCACATTTCAATGACAAATATAAAAATACCACAAAACCTAGGCAACTATACCAGTGTTCTCCACCATCTAAAATAGCTGATGGGCATCCTAATTTACATAAATTTGCATAGCATTTGTGTGAAGTATTCTATTTATATTTAATATTCTATTTATAGTTGCAAGAATTGTTCATGTCACAAACTGTTTAAACACTCACTATACTTTTCTTTTGTCTACAAAATATCATAATTTGGAAAAGAATATAAATATTTCACGCAATGCATTCTCAAAATAATAAGGTAGGCCAAGAGATTATCAGTTTGTCTTTTCCAGTCTGTTTCATGATGAAAACCGACCAAACGTTGTAAACATGACAAGAATTTTCATGCAATCTGCTAAAAATTTTGTTTTATTTTATTTTCATGTAGATTTTTTGTTCACATTTATTACTCTTCCTATGTTTGTGATCAACACAGACAACTGTCTCACAGTTTGCTTTTTCACCATAATTTGATAATTGCATGCAGACTTTTAGTGATCACTGTTTATATCTCAACTGTTGTAACAAACAGCAAAATAATAGGTTGGGCAACTACTCTCGTTTTGGCCTGGGAAGAACTCTGCAAGCTATTTACAAACTGTTTCAGCCGAATGTACATTAGTGTTGACTAAGTGTCCAGCCAAGCTAAAATCTCATGTGGAGAAAGCACTAATTCTTAATATACAAGATGTCTTTGTCAACAACAAATGCATTAAATAGTCACCATGAATTATCAAGTTTTGGAAATATATAAATATGAATTGTCAGAGCATGTCAGAGATATGGCTACAGAACAGTGCATGTTACTCCAGAAGGCCATTTCGATTTTCCAATCAGAAAAACAAGACAACATGCAACAAAATTTCCAATGAATGTGCCAAGTATGAACAAAATCAGTCAATAACCAACCAGAATGTTGTTTTGGAACGGCAGAAATGCTCGATTTTGGTAAATTTTTAGCATAAAAATTGAAAAGGGAACAACAACTAGGACAGACATTTTTACCTGGCATACCTTTCCTTCATCTATAATGATACTGGTAAGTGAAAATAAATTGACTCGAGTATGCCGCATGTTTTGTGTTGTACACAAAGTTCTAACAAAAACAGTCCAGGTATGACTAAGAATTGATGCCAGGTGCATTAACAGACTGAACTCAAGTAGGTTTACAAATCATTTTTCTTACCTTCTAGGTTCAATTTTAGCTGATAACAGTCTAGATGTTGTTTCATCTGCATTATTATAGGCAATTGTGATGTCTACATGATTGAATACATAATGACTATCTCTTTCACTAAAAGCAGGCTACAAAATAACAAGAAGTAACATTATAATAAGCAAATTGTAAAGCTTGGATATCACCATGGTTATGGTTGCTTGAATCCTGAAGAATAGATCTTAATAATTTCACTGTTTTAGCCTGCCCTGGGAGCTAGTTCTATGGAAGAGACATTGAACATAATTCATATACCAATTTCCATGTCAAAAATCCCATGTTATATGTGCACCAGTCGGCGCCACTGCCAAAATACTTTCGACACTTGTCTGAAAGCGACAATAATAACTAACTAGCAAATTTGCTCTCTAATATGCTGCATTGGTATTGGAACACTACATGTGTTAGTTGTGATTCTACTTACATTGATAACACATGCATCTTTTGGTTTACCAGTCCCATCAACATAACAGCCAATCGGAAAACCTGGAGAGCAGTACTTGGTATTCTGGGATTGCTGGGCTTCAACATCGTAACACCAAGTAACAGGCATGTTATCAATAATCCTAGAATAAAAATCAGAATATATGAGAATCAAGAAAACACTTTTCACAAATTTCTCACCAGTCAACCCAACAAAACTTTCAAAACATTTCAGTCACATTAATAATGTCAAATTAGTCTAGAATTAATTATTTCAATAAATTTTTCACTGTAAATCAATTTTGTGAGAAGTTTAAGAAGTTTCTATAAAACAAACTTACAAGACACTGCTACTAGTATACAACTTTTTTGTTCAGAACTAGCCAACTCCTCGTGATCAACCAACTCATGTACTCACCTCACCTACTACAATTATCAACTATAAAGAATCATGTCACTACTTACCAATGGTGTTGGTAGTTCTGTTTGATGCCATCTGTCAGAAACTTCAGGTTTTTCATACTTTCTTTATTTCCAGACTCGTACTTCTTATTCACACACCTCTATACATTTGCTTTCTTCCAAGAAAGATATCTTTAAAAAACAAACGAACTCAGTAATCAGTAAATATTTACAAGACCTGTGTACCTTGATGGTCTGTTGTCTGTTGTTGCGACATACTCACTCATAGTAGGAATCAAGCCAAGCAACAAATTGAACTTAAGAGTCTACTAGCTATGGTTCCAATGCAACAATCACAATGATAGTTTTTAAGAAAGAATAATTTGCACTTTTATGACAATTTTCTGTATGCATATTAATACCCCTACTAATTTTAAACAAGTCTATGAAATAGTATAAATACAGTAGTACACTGAGTTAAAAAACAAACAGTTTACTGCTACTGGAAGAGGTGTGATGTGGACAGTTGGGATCGAGGACAATGACATCAAAGAAAGTGAACTTTAATGTTTGACACAGTTGCCTGCCTGTGCCCTGTATTCTTTTCAAAATGCATTCAATAATTAACTTTATATATTCACCAAGTTTTAATTTAAAGCAAATGAACACAAATGAAACCACGCAAATAGTTACACACATTATTGGCCAAGATTTGGTCAGATGCAAATCATACTTACAATATATGGAGATGGTCTAATTCTTTCACCGAACACTACCTGACCAAGGTTCTCAGTCGGGCTCTGCGTCTTATCAAATCCGCAAAAATCAAATCTAATGGAAAAACATAAAATATATGAAAGCCAATGGACAGCATAATACAACATGTTTAAAAGAAATTGGTGCTAACTTCAGTGCAGTGTTCATAATTGGAGATACAATGTGACAAATCGGGTACAAATTAACCCAATAATTAATACCAATTACAAAAAATTTAATTTGTTTAATTCGTAGCATTAATTATATCTAATAAGCATTTTTGTTACAGGCTATATTTTAGTTAATTTTACACAAAATTAAAGCAATATGGGAAAGTTTACCAAAAGTTGACCAGGAATATGTCAAAACACAAAACCTGCATACTTAAGATTGAAGCCTACCGAGCGTTCTCCCTAGGATGTAAACAGCTTGGCGGTCCTGCCACAGTGCTTTGATTTGCCACCACACCGTTCTGACACCGCCACGGTGATTAGCAAGACCGCCACAGTGCTTTTTTCATTGGGGATCTCGTCACGCTGGTCGGCCCGACCGGCACTCAAAATTAGCGACCACCACGGAAACGCGTCCGACTATTGTCATATTGTTATTATACTTGCGTACCGACCGACAAGCATCCTGTCAGTCGTGGATAATAATTTGTAAACAATAGACATAGTCGTGCGATGTGGTATCTGCTTTAAACAATACAAGTCAATTTTGTAAAATTAACACCTCTTTGTAAGTAAATATTTTCTGACCATAGATGCAGTCTTTAGATTGATAGCTAAAATTCATTCAAAATCAATTCCATCCCGATGTAACATGGGCAAAGCGGAGTTCACGATCAGTTTACGCTACTCAAGAAGAAACAACGTGTTTATTGCGTGATTGGGTTAAATACATTTGAACTGTTATCATCGTAAATCATGTAAAAATTCTTCTTTCAAGACTTCTTTTACCTTTCAAAAATTGCTAATCACCTCTTTCGAAAACCATCATGCAGTTTTCATCTGAAATCCATACCAACACATCGTGCTACGACATCGCTTTACTTCCGCAA